ATAGGTGTAGGGTGGGGGTGGGTCGTCGTATGGGGTGTCGAGAAAATTGAGATCTTGGGGGAAACGGGTTGACCGTACGGGAAACAAGATTCATCGAACACGACGTGGCGGGATATAATGATTTTGTGGGTGTCAAGGTCAAGGCAGCGGAAACCGCATTGGTTAGAGGGATAGCCGAGGAAAATGCAACGGGCAGAGCGTGGGGCTAGTTTGTGAGGGGCGGTGGCGGAAATATTGGGGTAACATAGGCAACCGAAGACGCGAAGGTGGCCGTAGGTTGGTGGGGAATTGAAGAGGGTTGCGTAGGGGGTTTTGTTCTGTAAGGTGGTGGTGGGAAGTATGTTTAAATATGGGCTGTCATGTGGAGGGCCTCGACCCAGAAAGTGGGGGGAAGTTGGGCTTGAAAGAGGAGGGAACGGACCGAGTTGTTAATGGTACGAATGGTGCGCTCAGCTCGGCCGTTCTATTGGCTGGTGTGAGGACACGAGAAACGAAAGAGGATGCCTAAGGAGTCAAAAATATTTTTGAGTGGGGAGTTACGATATTCTGTTCCATTATCACATTGAACTGCTTTTATTGTTGTATTAAATTGATTTTTGACATATGCTACAAATGAAGTTAAATGATTAAAAGCATCACTTTTATGTTTTAAAGGAAAAACCCAAAGGTAATGAGAAAAATCATCCAACAACAACATATAAAATTTAAAACCAGTAATACTTGGAACAGGGGACTGCCATAAATCTGTATGTAATAGTTGAAACGGAAACATTGAAATACGACTAGAAGAATAAAATGGGAGGTGCACATGCTTTCCCAATTGACATGCATGACATAAAGAATATTGATAACTTTTAAAAAGGAAGAGGCGAAATATTACTGAGGACAGTTTGACTGGGATGGCCTAGGCGCCAGTGCCAGGTCTGAAGATCGACAGCGGAGACATTGGCTTGAGCGGAAACTGGGCGTCCTAGGGGGTAGAGGGGTCCCATATCATTGGAGCAATGTATCACGGTGCCCGTCTGACGATCCTTCACAGAAAAACCATTAGCGTCAAATTCAACAGAACAGTTATTATCGCGAGTGAGTTGACAAACAGATATGAGGTTGTGGGTGATGTGAGGAGAAATAAGGATATTTTTTAGGGATAGGGAAGGGGTGGTGGGGAGGGTTTGGCTACCAACAGCCGTAGTGCTAACCTTAGATCCATTACCAACAGTGATATATAATGGTGAATGTAAAGATTGAGAATTAACATGAGAAATAGTACCTGGGTCAGAGGCAATATGATGGGATGCACTGGTGTCCATATACCAAGAGGGTTCACGGAGGGATAGGGTGTCAAAATGGTGTGCAAGGGCTGTGGGGNCCCCCAAATTACAACAACAACAACCCAGTTAAATCCCACAAGAGTTGGGTCTGGGGAGGGTGTGTGTACGCAGACCTTGCCCCTACTCGAAAGTAGAGAGGCTGTTTCCAAAGAGACCCCCGGCTCAACGTCGAAAGTTGCATTGCTTGACTAACTGCTACTTCATTAATTAAAGAAGCGCAGACAGTTTAGAGATCCATTTTGATTTATTCCATCACACCCCAAAGCCAAAAAATGGTGAAATTTTGGCTCCATCGGAGATGATGGAACGTGATACCCCCAAATTATGAAAAAAAAAATATATTAATGCTGTCATACGTCTGCTACAAAAGACATCCGAGCTTGAGAATCATATTCCGTCCGCCCACAATGTTTGTCACTCCATCCTATGTTTTCATTCCTATGATCCTTGAAAACTTATACGCCACCCCATGTTTTTCTTTCCGCTTGACTTTTTTTGGTCAAACATTATAAATTTGGACTACGGATTGCTCGAAAATTACATTGAGTTATGATATAAACTTAATATCAATAGCTTCATTTTGAAATGCAAATTTAATATTTCATATTTTCACAAGATACATTTATGCATAAATATTGACATTTATGGTCAATATTTGCATTGGAGATAGTAAAAAGTCAAATGAGAAGAAAGTTGTAAGATGGACAAAGTAAAAGATTTGAGCAACTGGAACTCCTGCAAACATTTCAGGAACATTTTTTTGGGATGTTTGTTTTTTTTTGCAACATCTCTTTCTTTTCTATCATTTATTGTAGTTTAGAAACACATTCTGGGGAAAAAAAATTAATTATGCTACGAGCTGGAACATGTAGATTTTTTAAAATTGCACTATTAGTGTTTATAAAGCATAACAACAATGCTTTATTTGAAGTAACGTGTGATGCCATAATATGGAAAGTAATATAGTAATGTTTACACTGATGTTATGTCACTCAATCTGACTCATATATGGTGAATGAATTTTCTTAGCGACTGTTATCATCTTTATTCATGTGATATTTCTTTAGCCTTTTGATGCATTGTTACCTTAAAAATTTCTGTTATCATCTCTACTGACTTTTTGTCAATTGATATGACGCGTCTATGTTGAATGTATTTTCTTATATGGTTATTTCCAGGTTGTACCAGCATGGCTGCATTGCTTGCCCATAAAAGGTGATTTGATCGAAGCAAAAGTTGTACATGAGCAGCTGTGTTCAATGGTGGAACGGTAATAGATCACAAACTAAATTACATAATGAGATTAACCATTCAAGGGAATGCTGGAAACAGCATGCCTAATTGCTATAAACTCAAACGTCTGAAGTGGTTTGGTTGTGATTACAAATTTTGCTTCATTTAAATGTTTTGTAGGTCCGACGCTGAGCTATTGGGTCCCAACAATCAGTATCTTCCTAAGATTGTTTCAGTTTTTGCCGAGGTTTGTTCTCTACTTCTCTTCCTGGTTCTCTAACACATGCAGTTATTTTACATGCAATGTTTCTAATATGACTCCTAACATTAGACACATATACTTAGCATGTGAAATCTGCTCCACCCATCCTAATTTTTATTACCCACTTTCCCGTTTTGGACATACCAACAAAACCTCCCACTTTATATCCTTATTTAGTAATGAACATGCGGCTCATAAGATTTCTCTGGTATAAACACATTCTAACCAAACAATTATCACTTTCCAACACCTCTCTTGAATTCTGCTAAAAATGATGTTAGCAAACTGAACCCAGATTTTCCATGAGATCACTTCCCTCATTTAATGAAATACTTTGTGCTGGCCTACACGTAGGTGTTATGTGCCGGTAAGGATCTGGCAACGGAACAAACAGCCAGTAGAATGGTTAGTCTGTTGAGGCAGCTTCAACAGACACTACCACCGGCAACCCTGGCTTCAACATGGTCATCCCTTCAGCCTCAACAACAGATGGCCCTTCAGTCCATTCTATCATCTTAGTGCCTGCTTCTCAAGTTGGAAAAGAGGAAAACGCTCGAACACCGTCTTTCTTCTCCACAATGATGATGAAACTTGTGGGCCCCGCTTTCGTTCATTGAGAGGTGAAATCAGATTTATATTTGAATTGTTGATTCTTTGTGTCGTGAAATGCCATTCATCGTCCACCGTTTGAGCTTGGGAAAAAAAAATATGCAAGCAGAGATGTATACATTTTTTCTTTTAGTTCTCCTTGTTTCATTTTGGGGTTTGGAAGTGTATATTTGTTGTGTCAAGCCATTGGTTTTGGGGGGGATTCTACTTCGGTTTAGTGAGATCTCTTGGTTTCCCCTCCCTTTTCGGTGACCGTTTTGTGGTTCAAGGGTTGTCAGGGAGGCAGTTCTTGGCTCAGTTTTGTCCGGGCGTCTTTAATTTTTTTTTAATTTTAAATATAAATTTTTTCATCCAGATTGTGACAGAACAAGGAAATATATCAAACTTTTGCTGTTTTGGTTGTTAGAGTTTCATGTTGCTTAACATATTATCATGGACCACCCACCTTTCACCACATCGGTTCACAACCATTGACACACATACATCTGTTACTTTTCACAATACCCATTGATGTTGGGGCGAAAGGTATGGCAAAAGTTGGAGCGACTTTAGCGCTTTTTGCATTATTTTTGGTCTCTTCTTTGTCTATGGTTCCCATTTGTTTGCGAAAACTATTTCCTTGAACGGATGTTGAGGAAGCCAAAAGAATCATGCCCATGGGGTAAAACCCCGGTGGTCACGTGTTTGAACTTGTAACTTTATGGTTAGAAGTTCAGCTAACGGACCAACTCGTATCGGGCTTCCCAAACTTTAAGCCAAATAATGTGTCTTTAATCCCCACAAAGGGGTTATGATTATACACACACACACACACACTTGTATGTTGTCATTTGCTTATGCCTTCTATTTTTTTCGGATTCTTTTGTCCTCCATTCGAAGTACTGTATGCTACTAATGCACTCTTTAGGGAGAGTTTTATACTCTCCGTCCATGATTTTTTTTTCTCTTACGTGTTTTAATGTTTGAATAAAATTGTTTGAGTAAATTCTATAATTGGTCCTTTATAACAGGGGTTTTCCCTATTTAGTCCTCTATTACTCCCTCCGTCCCATTTTATAACGTCTGTTTCGGTTTAGGATGTCTGAAGTTATTTTCAAATCATTTTATATGACAAATGGTATAGAATTAAAAATAAAAATTACATATCAAAATACTACATCAAAAGATCTACAAAATTAGTAGTGACAACAATATTTTATTTTATTAATTTGCTAACGAAAATAGAGAAAGAAAATGAATGAAGTTTGAACCTGTAAATAGTAAACATGCATTATAATTTGGGACGGAGGGAGTATCAAATATTACCTCAGTGGTCCTTTTTTTATGGGTACCTTTCCACAAATAGTCATTTTTTTGATCTTCTATCATGTTGGTGGTAATTTGAGGGCTAAAAGTATAATTTCACAATGATAATATATCTTTTTTGTCGTACACAATTCCAAAGGCTGTTCCGTTTGCGTCATTTGTGAATTACTGTCGCTTTTTACGACAACTATAGTCTACAAATGTGATCTTTCGTCAGAATCCTAGCCCACAATCATAATCATTATTTTTGTATTATCCGCTTAACCAATATCAGAACACGTCACTAGACATAATGTTGATGTCAAATTATACTTTTAGCCTTTAAATTAACACCAACACGGCAGAAGATCAAAAAAGGACCATTTGTGAAAAAGTACTCTTAAAAAAGGACTCAATATGGAAACCCTCCTGTTATAAGGGACCAATTATGGAATTTACTCAAATTGTTGTTAATTTGTTTTATACTCCTTTATAAAAATTGGTGTAGAATTTAAAATACAGTGTAAAAAGTGTACATGACATATAGTATTTAAATGTTACATCAAAAGATTTACAAAACTAAATATAACATTATATTTTATTATCAAATGAACAATGATAATAGATAAATAAATTGAATAAAATTCGAGTGTGTAAATAATGAATGAGAATTTTTTGAAGGGAGTGAGTATTATTGATACTCCGAAAAAAAGTTTATTAAATATGGTAAATTGACAATTAGTTATTGATGCATCAAAACGAAAAAGTCGATAATGAAATCAAAATGGGGAAATGCTTTTTTCCAAAGAAAACAAAAAGTCGATAATGAAATCAAAACGAAAAAGTCGATCAAACGAACCCTTTATCTTATTAACACATTCATTTTACAGTTCTTATGCTCAAAAGAACATAGCCTTAGTGTATTTATTTGTTTTAACAATTTGTAATTATGACCTTTGTACATTGAATTCCGTATTTATCTTTTACTCCGTTAGTATATTTCTCTCACTAGTTAAGCTACGGAGTACTTAGTTAGACCTATTTAGCTGTATTTTTTTGTTGAAAAAACAGAGTTAATGTTGTATGAAACTGAAAGAAGTTCGATGACACTGAAAGAAGATAACTAAAAGGAATTGAAAAACATTGGAAATAAGAGTTACTGCTCTTAAGAACAGAGTCTTAATTGTAAATCTCTTATTGGAATTAGGGCCTGTTTGGGAATAGCGTTAGAGATTAGCGTTAACGTTTTGAATAAAATTTTAACGGTGCAGATTACTTTGAAAACGCTAAGTCTAAACGCTACCTCCGTAGATAGTCTTTTCAAAACACTAACGCTAATCGCTAACGATATTTCCAAACAGGCCCTTAATCATCAATTTCTTTGTATTGTTTTATTCACATCTTTTCTATGGATGAGCTACTCTTTCTATTCTTTACAAAAATGAAGATTTTTTTTGGTTAAACAAATAAGAAAATAATACGAAGGAAAACGAACACCTAGATTACCACTGTAATTTTGAAATAGAATTTGAGTATCAACATACTGTGAAGATGATGAGATATAGAGACCTCGTTACTTTTTAAGAGGAACTTTATCTCGCTAAAAATGAACGAAATTCTAGTATGACATTGTTTGGGAATAACGTTTTCAATTAGTGTTAATATTTTGGATAAAATTTTAATGATGTAGATTAATTTTTAAAACGTTAATGCTGAAAGCTACCGTCAGATAACTTCTTTAATTTAAAAAACTAACTATGACCTCTAACACCGATGTCAATTCAGGCTTATATGTTGGCTATCTACGAATAAACACAAGTTGTTGAGATATTTACTTATAATAAATATTTACAATATTAAATATATTTAACAAAAATAAATATTCTAAAAATAAGAAAGAGGGACTATAAAAAAATAGAAGTGAACAAAAATAGAAAACAAAATCAGGATAACGAAAATAAATATTCTAAAAAATTACTTCCTTCGTCCTTGAAAGATTGTCACAGTTTGACGTTTTTGATCAAACTATGATACTCTTTGACCACGAATTATAGAAAAAGTATATCTAATTAGGATGTAAATTTAATAAAATTGGGTTTGTTTTAAAATATAATTTTGAAGTATCAATTTTTTTTTATAATATTTAATTATTTTAAACTATATTTTGTTCGTAGTCAAAGAATGTCATAATTTGACCAAAAAAGTCACACTGTGACAATCTTTTAAGAACGAAGGGAGTTAGAAAGTGGTCTATAAAAAAATAGTAGTGAAGGAAAAAATGAAATTTAAACCAAAACAAAATTTTGAATCTAACCATATCCAAACATAATCAAGAATATAATTAAATGAAATTAGAGTAAATACCAATTAAAACGGTATTGGTCTAGCAACCAATCACTTGAGCCCATGAGCAGTTAGTTATTCCATCCTTTCTTTTCACAAGTCTATATTCTTTTTGAGTGTCACACTTTCATCAGTCGTAATAAATAAAAATACAAATGAATTAAAATATAAATTTACCCTATAACATTATATTTGAAATACTTTTTTTCTACTATTTTTAAAATAATTTTTATAATAAATTTTAGAAATTAATATTAGCCAAATGCTTAACACAAGAGTGAAAGGACCAATTTTTTTATAAAAGGAATACACTATTTTTAGAGGGACCGGATGTACTTGAAAATGCCAATGAAGATTCTCATATCTAAAAAAATATATCCCTTGGAGATAACCTGGTTTTTGTTTTTTAAAAAAAGTGGAACGCCCACCTCGGGTGCTCCACGTCCCGACCTGACAAAATTGTGATTGAGCAAATCATAATATAATTAATCTCAATTTGGTCATTAGAAAGGTCGCCTCGTGCCCGTTGCATACAAAGAATAATTACAAATGCCGCTGTCAAGACTCGATCCTAAGATTAACGGCTTGACATCCTCCCGTGAGACCAGTTGAGCTACTCATGTACACAAGTTTTTGTTGTCTAAATCCCATAGCATGGAAGTTTCCATATTTTTCTCAATCCATTAACCCTAGGAGATAAAGGGTTCCTTAGTTACTCTCTTCGTTCACAAAAGTTTTTTACTCATTGATTAAAATTGTTTTAATATAATTTTATAGTATTTTTATCTGTGTTTTTCCAAAAAAAAATGTGAATTAAAAAAATTTGGAATTCGTTGTTGATATAAAATAATATGACTTTAAAAATCAACAAATAAATTAAAACATATCTAAAAAGATAATGTTAAATACGGAGTACTATTTTTAGTTCTTATAAAATAGACGAGTTTTTCTTTTCGCTACCTGTGAAATATTTTTTTGTTATAGTCATCCCTAAAAGAAAAAATGTAAGAATAGTTATTAAATGTAACTAGCACTTCTAATTAGATGAGATTGTGCATTTTCTACCTCCATCCTGAAATTTTTGTCCAGTTTTGACTTTTTTCAGTTAACTATTTTCAATATTTGACTTATAATTAAATAAAATGAATATTGTATATTAATTAGATAAATAAATATTTTGATAATATTTTATATAAAAAATTTAATAAAACTATTTTTATATCAATATCTTATATCATTTTTTTTAATTTAGAAACAAAGTTTACCAATTTTGACAAAAAAGTTAAAAGTGGACAAATATTCCAAAACATATTTGATAAAACTAAGTTGTTGATGATGTAATTTGATAAAATATATAATTTAAGACATAAGAATTATCTCTAAAATAATTAGAAATACAAAACTAAATTGTTGAGTACAAAATAAATATACTATGTCAACAAATTAAATACTCCGTATCTTAATTTCGTAAACAAGAACCATTTAAAAAATAATTATTTTTGCAAGAATGACTTTTAGAAATATATTTTACAGAGGCTAAAGATAAAGCTTCCCAATTTTACAAGGATTAAAAACATAGTTTATCCTTTTTAATAAAACAAAATTTGGAACAAGTGATTCAAAAAAGGAAAAAACAAAACAATAAAAACAAGTGGGATTAGAAGAGGAGCGAAAAAA